TCCTCGGGTGCCTTTCCATGTGGAAAGCTTCCCTTGGCTCGAATCCTTCTCTTTGCCGGTACCTTTCCCTGAGGAAAGCTTCCGGATGCTCCTGTGTTCTTCGAGCTGTCTTCAGGCTTACCTGCGCTAACCATGTCCTCTGGAGATCCTACCTTTCCACGGGTTGGTTCCTTGGACTTGGCTGGCACCGAGGTTCTACTCTCGATGCCACCAGGCAGAATCTTGAAAATGGTCTTGCCTTTCCAAGAGTCAGTAGTTCTTGTTGAAGAAAGCTCAGAAGAACTCCAGTCATCTTCTTGAGTAACGCTCTTTCCCTTGGAGAACTCCATGATCGTCTTGCGCTTGGTGTCCAGATACTCCAACGGAATTGGCACATAACCCGCCTTGGGTTCGTACTTGACTCTTCTCATCTTCTTGTGGATGCGAATCATTTCCATGTCGGCTTCGTTGATTACCCATTCATCATCAGTCGCCAACACGAGATTGTCAGGTACCTGTTCATGAGAACAGCATCCCTCGGTCTTCTGATGGAATCCGTACTCGTAGTGGGAGAAGTAGGTGAGGAAGCTCGACTTCTTATGCTTGCTGAAACGCACATTCCACATCAGCTGACTGAGTTCAAGAAGATCAAGTACCAGGTGTGAGCTAGGTGCAACCTTCAGCCTCACATCCTTGATTCCCAGCACAGGGCTGCTGAGCAAGGCCTTTTCCGGATGGAGCTCGAACTGGAAACGAAGATTGCGCATCTGAGGTAAGGACATGAGAATGGGAACATGCCCTTGTTCCACAATGTCGAACTCTGTGGATTGAACTGCAAAGTCCCGGTCGTACATGCAAATGACCAACTTCTGGTTGCATTTGGTGGACTCGGAATTGGCAAAGGTGAACTGAGAAGTGGTCTCAGCAATGGTGTACCATATGCCACAGTTCTGGTTCTTGTCACAGAACTCCATGAGGTCCTGTGCGGCCACTCTCGAAGCCATTGCTCTCGTGCATCCCAGGTCCAACACCATCGCGGTCGGCGTCAAGGGCTGAGAGATGAAGGCTTCCTCGATCTCATTGATCTTCTCTTCGGTGGCCATAAAAGAGAAGTTCGGAGTGTTGAGATGTTCAACGAAGAAGGTTGTGGCGGCTGTGGTGCCGCTCGGGGCAGCATCAGCAAGCTGGCTCTGTCCGTCCTTTCCGGACTTTCCATCTTTTCCATCCTTGCCAAACTTGCTCTTTCCTTTGCCCTTCTTTCCTTTCTTCCCTTTTCCTTTGGCTGCATAGGATTCCTCAGACTCGTACCAGGACCAGTCATCCCAGGACTGATCGCTCCAATGGTAATCTTGCCATTGTCCTTTTGCTTGCCATGCTTCTGATTCTTCGGCAAGATGTGACCTGCCTTTCTTCCTTTTGAAGAAGCGCCTTCCTTTGGATCCTTTGCCACCTTTTCCTTTGCCTTTACGGTGGCCCTTGACTCCGCGCCTCATCTTGCGGCCTTGGAAGCGCCGCTGGAACCATGAATAGTTCTCGTCGTCGTAGACCCAGAAGGCGTCCTCATCCGCTTCGAGGAAACCTTCGGTGCCATCTTCCTCGTCCTCAACCCAGTAGCCTTCATGATCGTTCAAATATCCTTCATCGATCACAAGAAAAGTCTTGCGGCCACCGTGGCCGGAAGGAGCGAGGAGTGGATTGTCGACGGTAGTCTTGGTCGTACAGAAGATCTCCAGGTAGACTTCGCGAAGCTCGGCCGTGTTGTAGTCAGCCAGGACTCGGTTCCGATGCGCCATCAGTGATGTCAACACCTGACGCTGATCCTGTGTCAGATCATACAGGGACACAAAGATCAAAGCGACCAGGTTGGGCGTGATCGGAATGGTCCGAGCATGCTGCTCTCTGAGCCGTTCGTTGGCTCTCTCCATTGCCTGAGCTGGCGTAAGGTTTTCTTGTTCTTCTGGAGGAAGTCCTACTATGAAGGCTCTGACCTCTGCATTGTTCGGGTCCTCGATCGGCAGATAGGTATCGTTCCACGCTTCTTGCGTTCTCTGAACAGAGAGTTGAAACCTGGTAATCCAACGAAGCATGTCTCCGTTCCCACGGTGCATGTTCATGAACTGCTGGAAGCGATAGAGAAAAACATTCGCTGCTCCCTTCACGAAAAGCGGCCGCAGGAAACTCTTGAAGTACTTCACTACGTTGTTCGGGTCCTTCAGGCGATCTCTGTCGAGAAGTCTCTTGTGGATTGCTGCTTCACCTTCTAGCCGATTTCTCAAAGCTGGTCCACGCTTATCATTGTCTAGCTCAGTAATGTCACAACAGTCATCGATCGCATCTTCATAGGCAAACCAACTGCTTCTACCATCATAAGATGGAGGTACTTTGGTGGTCACCTGCTGGAAAGCTGAAAGACGGTGTAATTCATTGAGATGACGATGATTAGTCACGAAAGATTCATTTCCGTGGAGGAGGTAGTCATCATCTCCTCCTTCATGCTCAAAGATAGTCGCAGAGTGGCTAGCCATTGCGCTGTTCTTGGATCGAGCCCCGGGAGAAACCTCTTCCGGTTATCCTCACCTGAGTGAAGTGTGCCGGAGAGACTCCGGTCACCTTCACCTGAGTGAAGCACACCGGGTATTCCGGTTGCCTCCACCTGTGTAGAGAGTACCGAACGGGTACCTCCACAAGTGTGAAGCTTCCCGTTTCCCGGGAGCTCCGCTACCACCTTGAGATGTAACCTGGACGTGTATCCCCTCGCTAGGCGTACAGGAACACAGGCACTCAGGTGTCTCTTTTGCTACAGGCGCACAGCTGTAGTCCACTGCACTAGAACCTTGAGCAACAGGCATGGATACATGCAAGTGATACGTGAAACAGACGGGCACCTGGATGTGTAACATTCAGTGTTTCACCCCTCCCCCCCCAAAGGTCAATGGTCCGGATATGGGGTGGGGCCCTCCCCTCGTGGGGTGTGGGGTTCCTCTTCCCCCTGTGGGGTGGTTGTGAGGTTTTGGGGTTTAGGGTTTAGCTTAAGTGTGTTGGGTTTACGGGTACAAAGTATAAGGCTTCGAGTCGACAAAGGCTTAGGGAGGATTTGCGGTGTATGCTCTGCTTTAGGCTTATAGAGCCTGCAGTTAGGTGGGGTTTAGGGTTGGGTGTAGCCTTTTCAGTGCAAGTTAAGGTTGCTCAAAACAGGGGCACGCGCTGCGTTATGGGGTTTGCGGCTTGCTTGCAAGGGCTTGCGCGTGAGCCCTGGCCGCCAGCACCACCCCACCATCCAATGGCAGCTCCAACGGCCCCCAACCCCTTTCCGCACACGCGAGCCCCCCCCCCCCCCCCATCCCTATCAGACCATACCATTGGGGGGGGGGCTGGGAACGCCAGACGCCTGACCATATATGCGTGCGCACATGATGACACATGCTGCGTCACCGAGCCACGGAGTTGTTGTCTTTCTGTCTTAGGACCCGGTGGTATCGCGCGCCAGAGCTTTTCCTCGGCTCCCGTGGAGATTCCAGCGTCCGATGCCGACAATGGTACAGAAGACTTGCGGCAACCAATACGTTAGTCAGTGACTTCCACAGTATTGCGCTCAGGTCGACCTCTGGTCCGCTGGTTGCACTATCGCGGAGTTGATACTAAGGAGGTGCATCCGAATTCTCGGCTAGTGCAGGCATGGTCCGGCTATCGGAAGCCGCAGGCCTTGGGTTCCAGGTTCCGACACGCGTGTGGGAATCTCAGAAAGTTTCCCAGTCGGGAGCATGTCAGAGCCGCACGTGTGCAATCACCAGCTTGCTTGTACTCAGAGCTAACGTTTTGCATGAGCGAGCCGGCCCTGTCTGTTTGAATGCTGATTGCAGATGAAATTCTCAGGATATGCTGTTTCGAATTTGCGGGGCTTGCACCTGAGATTGACCACAAAGATCCGCAAACATGCAAGTAGAAAGTTTTGTCTTCAACCTTCAAGGAGCTCGGTGCCCCAGATGAAAGCGAAGGTTGGCACGCACCTGAGGGCCAATGTGTTGGAGCGTGCTGTCGTGATGGCATGTAGAAGTCAAGCAATGCTTTCGCCCGGCTGCATATTGCATGAAGCTCCTGAGGCCACTGGCCGCGCAGTTGGTGGAGGCTCTGTGCATGATAGAGAAGTGCGAAGCATACAGCATACGGCTGGCAGAGAGCGTCACAGGCCTCCGGGCGCAAGAACGCAGAACCTGCGGCCTGGCAGAGCCTGCGGGAAGCTGGCGCTTCGCAGGCAGGGACAGAAGCCGAGCAGAAACAAAGTGCTGAAATCCAATCTCTCCTGCCGACTGCCGGCATCTCCCGCCTTCAGAGGGAGCGTGTACTTGCGTTGGCCTCATATTATGTGGTCAAGCGGCCGGGTAATGATCATTAACGTTTGGGGATATCTGGGATCTTCGTTGTTATTCGTGGTCATTGGTGGTCTGCCCGGCAACAGTGCCAGCAACAATAGAAGCAGCATGGGAGAGCTGCAGCAGTGTGGCAAAGGAGCAGAAGTGTAGAGTAGTGCAGCCGTCGCAGATAGGTTTTGTGGTCAGAATTAGATACCAGCGTAAATACCAGTAGCAAGTGGAGAAGCACAATGCTAGCCAAGCGTGTTTTTGGAAAAATGTATAGACCCAGTATCCTCTTCTTTCAAGTCATTCTTTGCTGGAGTGAGCCCCTCATCGTTCTGTATGCAACCGATTGCAATGGACACGAATGCTGACAGGCTTTGTGGCACCACGCGGCGTCTGAACATGTCTCAACAAACTCATATCCGTCCTCCTGTTAATTGGAGTCTCCATTTTCTTGGATTTGTCATATCTATACACCTTCGCCTAGGTTATGTGATCTGTAACAGTCGAACCATTTGGGAAACCTGAGCCAGGGTGTGGTAGTGCAGACCTCACAACGAAAGCAGCAGCGCACGTTTAAACACAGATAGGACATTTGTCTTGAAGTGTTGCAGATTTTAGTCTCGCATACATGCAGCTCAAGAGAGAAGCAGGGTACGGATTGCGAAAGGCATCGAATGGCTCTGTGTACCTGCATGAATACAACATGCAGAACGTAGCTAGAAGTGTGAGATGGTGCCACGGAGCAATGTAGCGTGAACCAAGTCTGCACAGGCAGCTGTGGACATGCTCGAGAGCCTCCTCCGTTATGATGGACAGCGGCGCCTGAGCGACTTGGCTGCCATCCGGATTCAATCATGTTGTAGCATGAGGCGAGAAGTGTGTGACTATGATGATTCATGATATCTAAGGATGCGACAAGGCTCTCCGGGAACTGCCCTTCTTCACTACAGAAGAGCCTGAGGCTCTTCCAAGGGGCAGGAGACTGAAAGACAGTCTGACAAAGTCTGGAGATGTCTGGAGGTGCCTGTGCCAGTGCCGGTCTCCCGGCCGCTGAGTCCTGCGACTTTGCAGCGTTCCAGGGAAGAGGCCAGGCGGCCAGAAAGCAATTCACACAGCAATTCACACAGCCGAGCTCTTTGGGGATGACTCCCCAACCGCGCCTACTCAGGCCGGTCGTGGCTCGCGAGGGGGCGGAGGGTTTCGGGGTGGGGAGAATCCTTGGCAGCCATGGAAGCTTTCGCCGCTCTCTTCAGTGTTGCGGCGATGAGCACTGCAGCTCTTCGGTCCACGTTTGAGCCTCCACAGCAACACGGACCGACCCCATAGCCGTAATAGCCATGCTTACAGCCAGGACCACTGATCTTGTCCTTGGAGCGTCTGCAGGGTTTCGGGATGAACTTGTCCAATCATGTGGCAGCATCTTGTCCCAGACTGAGGTTTATGCCGACTTGAAATATGTGTGCCTCGAGAAACTACGACTTGATGCTATGTGTTTGTTCCAGTGCAGCAAAGGTGTGCTTGTAGCTCAAGAACTCTTACGCCTGGACCCTTGGCTCAGGAATCTCGGCTTCACGTCGGCCAGCCCTTTGGGTGTCTTGGATCTGTCCAGAGGGAGAGGGTGCGGGACACTAGACACTGCTAGTTTCCAGAAGCACTGGCAGCCAAGGAAGGTTCTCATATCTCACAACGCAGTCGAACGTGCTGCTGTTGATTTGGAGCCTCCTACACCTCGCAAGGGCCCCAGATTCAGATTGAAAGCGTCAGCAGTCAGTTGCTGGGCACTGATGCCCGGTAACCCAGGTTGAGCCCGCCTTCCGCGATGACAGTGGGAACTTGACGTTGCTGGTCTTGAAGTCACGTTTCGTGATTTTGCATGATTTTGCTGGCCAGAACCTCAAGGCGTTGACTTGGCATCTGTCTAGTTTGAGCAGCTAGGTACTAGTAGATCCTCTTGCCTTCTCAGCCAAGTGATGGTAAGTGCCCAGAAGACCATGATGTCCAATCGGAACAGGTGCGAACTGCCTGCAGCAATGCATTCGTGATAGGTCAATGCTGTCAGTCCCGATGCCAGAGCTTCAAATGTGCAGGTGCAGACAAATCAATAGCAACCACCCTGTTAGACTTGGTACTCGCGAGACCCTACGCCGTCACTTGTCACATGCAGATTCGACATGCTATTGTTTCTGAGACTCCCGGGGCCAACTCATCTCACTAAGATTAACATGCATCTGCTACTCTGGGGAGCCATTTTTTGGTGGCCTTGGCATCTTCGTTTCCGCGGCACCTTGTCAGCACATAGGCATGCGCCGATGTGTGCCACTCATTCCAGCATTTGTGCGTGCAGCTCCTGCGGCTGGACTTTTTTCAGGACTTTTCTTTCAGTTCTCGCCTTGCGTGTGCAGCCAATGCACTTCCGCGAGGCATATGCCGTCACGATGCATGACGATAAGGCATGGCCAGCCATGAACAACAACAGTCGTTGTGTGCGCCATCTGATAGCTTTTTACAGGTGAGTGTTCACTTCATCCGCAAAGCTGTGCGAGATGGAAGACTTCGGCGGGTTGCCCAAAGTCGTCTTGGATCTCATACGTGCAGCTTCGAAGCTTGAACCCAGGCTGCATCTTTCATCGAGAATCCCGACAGAGGAAGAGTGGCGGCAAGCGACCTGCCTGCACAGAACTGCAGAACTCTGCGAAATGTGCGAGCCGTGCGAGCCACGAGATGTTTGAGCGTTTCTCAGGACCAAGTGATTGCCCACGCCCCGCAGGCCAGCTCGCACCATCAGCCATCCAACCACGGGTAATGCGGTCAGACTGTTATGTTGGTGATTACAGTACCTCCCTCCCTTCAGAATATCCTGTGTTGGAGTCGCTTCTGCCAAGTAAGTCGTGCAACTTCCGTCTCCATGCGCGAACACGGAAATGGAACAGGCCTTGCAGCGATTGGAAGTAAAGCATCAACAAGAAGTGAAGGGCTATCTGTCCGAATAAGATTCATCAGTACAAGTTCAATCGCGAACTGCAGAAAAGAAAGACATACACAAAGAACGAAAGGAAGAACGATAGACAGGAAGAAAGAAAGAACCGACATACAGAACGAACCAACAAAAGCGAAAGACTGGACGACTCAAGAAACCACAGGGTTCACTGCCGCTTGACACCAAACACAACTCTATGAATTTCGATCGGCTTGCCTCAAAACTGGGCATTGCAACTTGTACTTCCCTTAATGGCTTGCCACAGAGCAAAATCCGGCAAGTTAGAATCCCCAGTAGATTGACGTAGAACAGGAATTTGGGCGAAGTGCAAATGCATGTCGATGCGTGTTTGATCCTTGTGAATTTGTCTTTCGATGCCGTGTTTTAAATCCGTGACCCTTGTGCAATGGCAAGAGACGTCGCACGACGAGGTAGGCAAGCCTTGCAACGGAGACGATTGCATCTCCAAGTGCTCCACAATGTGAGATCTCCAAGTCTGTGCACTTAGTCATGTGCACGTCTTGGATGCAGTCATATTCGCTGAAAACCTTAAGAAGGCGGACCTGTTTGCGTCCAAGGGCCAGAACACTGGGACCTAGGCACTTTAATCAGTGGCTTGGTTGCTACAAGATAGAAGCAGAAACCAGACACTGCCTAGCTAGCTGACAACCAAACTCGCTCCCTGACTTCGACCGTCTGGCCCCAAGATTGGGAAGTGTTGCAAAAGGGAGTGCAAGTGTGAAGGTCTGAGCCTTTCTGGGTGGTTCTCCGAAGCCAGACGTCAGTGAAACGGAGCAAACTGATGATTCGGAGACGTCTCTCACTTTTTCATTCGCCAAAGAAAACTGTCCCGGGACAGGATCTGGGGCACCAGGTTTGTTTGGCAACAAGTGGGATTTGTGTGAACAGTCAACTGGGCTAAAGGAGCAACAACTCAAAGGGAAATGCAGAGTCCCTTATCCATCACGGAATTGAATCTTCTTGGCCCGAAGATTCCGCATCACCTGTTTGCTCCCAGAGCAGATCAGAGCGGCAGGAGTTTGTTATCGCATGTGGTTTTCCCATGTTTTCCCCTCGGATTTCGAAATTCGCGACGCTTGCATCTTGTGGTAGAGTCTTTTATTTCTCACGTCATTCTGCCTGGGCCTTTCTTAGACTACAACTTGGTGGCAATGTGCGAAGTGGGTCGTTTCGGGGCTGTGCCTGTGGCAGATAATGATCTCGCTCGTCACTGCGGCGAGCCCTGGCAAATTGAGCTTCGGAACGCGCGTCTTTGCCCTTCAAGCCTTGCATTCTTGGCGTATGTAATTGTCGGTGGCAAGCCGGCCGAAAGGACTCGTGATGCTGCATTGCTCGAGCGCCATCTGCCGAGGTGCGGGGGACACGGGGGGATTTGTCCTCAGTCGTCCGCAATTAAGAGGCAACAGGTCTCTCTATGGGGTAGCACATTTTGATCAGGTCTCCTTGGCCCGTGCTGCTGCAGGGGCTACTCTTTGGAATGTGGTCCTCTGGTTTTATCACGGCGCAGACTGTCCTGCTGAGTGGAGCGGATGTCGTAGTTAATGTTGTTATCACAGTGTTACTGTCGTCAGATGCCGTCAGCAAAGGTACTCGGCTTGCCTCTTGTCGGTCTGGCAAGCCTCAAAGCTCTGGCCCTATCCCTTCATGCCTCGTGTCTGGCAAGCGAAGAAGTATGATGTGGGCGGCTTTTAGACATCACGTTGGCTCACCAGTGCCTCACGAGGTATTCCTTTCGACACTGGAGCCACCACGTTGGCTTGTATGTCGCTGCCTTCGGCACCAGCTCACTTCTTGCAGTTTTGATTCTTGGCTGTGTGCATTTCGCAGATCATTGCCGGCACATGGTGGCCTCGGTGTAGTCACGAAATGTCACTTATCACTCGCTGACCTGCATGGCCATCCCAAAGGATCGATACTGCCTGACCAAGGCATTGGCGATTGCTCTGGTGGCGTACGCAGTAAGTTGAAGCAAAAAAAGATCGAGTGACATCGAGTGACAGCATTCGAGGGTGAGTCATGTGCCGTCCGGTGCGGTGCGGTGCGCAGTCGACTCAAAGAGCCATCAGGCGCAAGCGGTCGAGCGGCGGCTCTGTGAGAAGCGCGGGTCGCTCCCTCCACCGCCACCGCCAGGGAGCCCAGCATGTCTTTGCCGTGCCCCAGAGTAGAATACATCTATACACCACAGCCACGACGCAGTGTTCTCGCCGACACTGTCCACCCCTCCTGCAGCCCTCACTCTGGCTGTCTCCGGCTGTGATGCGTGGTGCATGGGAGTATCTTCGAGGATTGAACAAATTAAAACCACCGCAATTCTTCAACTTTTTATCTTTCAGTCGGGGCTGCAGCCTGTTCTGGACTCTCGGCGAGCAAGTGACGAGTTGGTCCAGCTGCAAGGCCAGGGCCGGGATAGATGCTGAGCAGTTCAGGTCGGCACCCCGTGGATCCTCACCATCCCCATCTCCATTACCACCTTTGCCGCCGCAGGTGGCCTTCTGCACAGCTGGAGTTTACGCTCATTGGTCCTCTGTGATTTCATCAGCACGCCGCTGTTTGTCACCTTTGCAACTCAAGCTCATAGCACGAAAAATGGCTTTGCATTAGATGGAGATGCAGGCTAGTTGCGCTTTGTGCATTTGTTAGTTGAATTCGCGAAGAGGTTGAGTCATGCCATGAAGTCGGTAAACTTGACACAGGATATCCAAAGAAAGCAACTTCTTGGCAGACGAAAGCACTGAAAGTGATAGATTCTGCTGTCCTTATGGCTTGCTTATTCGGTGGATCCCCGACCGCGTCTGGCGATGACGTTCCGGAGGCCTGAGCTGTGGCAGATTGCGGCAGGCCAGTGCCCGTCCTGCGTGGCAGCAATCCTTGGTTGGCCCCGAGGCAGTTTTGAAGCTTCCAAATGGCAAAGAGCATCGCATCAAGGTGCCGATCACAGCTGCAGCTACAGAGATCCAACGCGGCATCCAGTCGGCCTGAGGTTCTGAAGCCTACGCTGGGCGAAGAGCTGTTCCTAGACATTCGGGACCTCCACCGGTCCGAAGCTAAGCTACCGTCTGTGGAGGACAACTGCCACTGCGCTCCGAAGAGGTCAACAGGCTACTTCGTGTACGATCCTGGTTTTACATGCACGGGGTCGTGCATGTCGGCCATAACTTTCATCGACGGTCCTAAGGCTGTTTTGCTTCATTTTTGCCAGAGATCCCTGACTTCTTGGGCCAGACGGCTTTAGGAAGCTTGCGCTTGTCACACTCGCCCTCTTTGCAGGGAGTTTGCCTTTACCGCGGCTATCCAGTGCCGGACAGCTTGTCCGTAGCCGTGAGCTGTGGTGTCGCTCTTCCTTCATCGTCCTTTGCGCAGGACCTCGTCGACTCTGCCCAGGCATTGGAGGCCCAAAAGACAGACACCGAATTCTAAGCGAGCATGTTGCACGTCGTGCACAAGCGGAGTCGGCATGCAGGACGCAAAAAGTCGAAGAACCCAAAAAGTCGAAAAACCACGAAGAACGCGAACAGCACGAAAGAACGCACACAACACCAAAACCGCGAGCTGAGACACACAAAGCGTTTCCACAGATGAATGCAGTGCCCAACACCAGCCGAACCGGTCAGGCCATGCGGTCACACACTCGCCAAAGCATCTAGATGAGTGACTCCTCATCCACCCAGTCGTCATGTGTGTTTTCGTGGTCAAAGAATCTGCTGCTGCTGCTGCTGCTGCAATTCCACACAGTGTCGCCTCAGCAGTAGCAGCTGTGAACCAATGCACGGCAGTTTGGAGTCAAGCGTGTTCAGTAGCCACGGAAGGTTGCTTACCTGCTCCTCGTCGGCGAGAAGCCCGATGCAGAGCAGTACCTGCAGTTTCAGAAGGAGATCAAGCAGCACATGACGCTCGCTTCCAATAAGTGACGAATGCAAACACCGCTCTGTCACTGGTCTTCCTTTCGAAGCAGGACTTTGCATCTCAGGCTGGTGCACGAAAAGGTGAAAGCAATGTTTACAAACTTCACCATCAATGCACATCCAATGGCCATCATGGCACCGCGGCATTGCAGCAATGCTTGTTTGACAATGACACGGGCACAATGCGTTCTTGTGGGTTCCGAATTCTCTTAGTGCGCGGCTTTACGTTATCACACTAAGCTTCCTGTGCTTTGGCTGACTGTCTGCTTCTTGCACTTCTTGCGTGGTGTTGAGCACTCTTTAGTCTGCTCGGCGTCATATCTGTTTAACCTTTGGCTTTGCGTATACTGTACTTCTTACTCGAAGCTCTTGCCCGCTTACCGGCATGACCGGCCAGCGGCTGGTGACATAATATAAGTGGGCGCAACGGACGGCAAGACATTAAGTTCTGGCAATCGGAAGGGGTCACTTTGCTGGTTTAGCAGCTGCGCGGCAGCAGTATACTCCAACAGCTTCGGGCTTGCCCCCTCATGACTGTGTCGGAAGTGCAAAGCATCCTGTTGCAAGGTTGCCGTCATCGGTGCGTTGAGCTCTGTCTTCAGCGAGCTCGACCCATCCAACGAGATGTGACTCGACAAATGTTGCCCATCTGCGCAAATTCCGATCGAACTCCTCTGCTTTCTTGCCAGACACCGCTGGTTGGCCAGTACACGCCTCATTGCCAAGGTGCCTGCCGCACTCTTAGCTGTTTTAGCTTCCTCGGTGTTGAAGCTGATGTCGAGCATCAACAAGCTATTAATGGCAACACTCGCTCCACTTGCTTCGGGCTTTCCAGCCGGCATTACACTACACTGCGGACCACTGTAAAGTTAAAGCCAGAGAACTACACGGTAGAGAGGTTCAGGGCCTCAAAGGTGTGTTACCTAGTGACTCATCAGATGTCTCGCCATGTGCTGCCAATGCGAGCTGCGGCAGGAACAGCAGACACGTCCACTGTTGTGCATACTCTCCTCACACGAAGACTAGCTCACTGATGATGCGCTCCATCGACTATCTGCATCCGTAGCAGCGCGATCTTTCCAGCTACAAGGGGCTAACACAGCCCACGTGCCGTTCTCTAAGCGCTTCGCTTCAGCGAGCTTCTTCCCATGATCTGGCACTCTCCTTTGTCGAGGAGCTCCTAGAAGGTTTCACCGCTTGTTTTTTGTTAATGGCTCCGACGGCATGCTCAAGCACACCGGTCTCGTCCAAAGGACGGGTGTGGGAAAGCATAATCACATGTCTTGCGACTTTCCACCATCCACAGCCCCCGCCGATATCGTCATCTACTGTACACGCTTTGCGACTTTCCCACCATGCAGAGACCCCGGCGCATCGTTATAAGTTATACTAATATACAGTGTTTCGATGTGTTTCGTGCGGTTTGCAGGTGCAAAACATCGCAACAGCCGCTGTTTCCGTTGTTCGCGAGTTCCACCATCCACCGACCCTGGCGACATCGTTAGTTGCAGTGTTTCGTGTTGTTCACGTGTGAAACATCGTACCATATCGCACCTGCCGCAAGTTTCACTGTTTGTGAAATTGCCCGCCATCCACAGACCCCGGTGACATCGCTGTTACTTTGTTTCGATGTGTCTCGTGGTGTTCGCGTATGGAAAACATCGCACCCTCGGCTGTGTTTATTCTGTTTTCCTCTTTAATCACTCTTCGCGACTTGCTCCCCTTCCGCAGTCCCCGGCGATACTGTAATTGTTAGTGGTTCGCGTGCTTATAAGTGGAAAACTTTCGCCTGTCACTGTTGTCACTCTTGACGACATCTGATTTCTGATTACGTCCATCGTCTAGTGTGACTTCGGGGGTTCAGCGTCCATGCCCGAACGGCGATAACGTCCACGGTCCAGAGCGTCCGCGACGTCGGGAGACATCATCCCATGCCCGAGCCGTGAGAGTCTTCGCGGTCTACTGTTATTTCGAGCGAGCATCCATGCTCGAAGCGTGATAGCGTCCGTGATCTAGTGCGACCTGGTGGAGATCAACCATGTCCGAACCGCAACGTCCATGATCTACTGTAGCACGATCTTCGGGAAGAGCATCCATGCCCAGGTAACTGGGGTGTGCGGTGTTGGTGTGCCTCAGCATATGTGAGTGCAGCCATCGCTGGCTTTTGTGTTTAGAGTTCCCGGCTGCGTAAATGCAACACGGTGTCGGGTTCGTCGCCTGCGAGGGTCGGGTAGCTTCGGTCTGCGCGGGGCGGTTTGCCTGACTACGGGCCCTGCCTATTTACAATCCGACTTTGCTGCTTGGAGGAGCATCTTGTGTGGAAAGGCTTGTTTGCAAACTCAGTTGGCTGCATTAGAGGTGCGCTTTCTGTGAGACATGCCTACTTGCAGACCTCATTTCGAGCAGAGGAGGAGCGGTTTTTGTGTGGCTCATTTCTTGTACTGTAGTTTCCTTTCGAACGATTTACAAGCTTATTTGCAGACCTCACTCAAAGGTGTAACAGCATTCTTCAGGGGCGTGGTCAGAAATCCTTCCCTGAAACTCTGGACTCTGTTCAAGTCTCGCGGCAGCACACGCATTCTTTTCCCCCGGAGTGATGTTTGTAGACAGGTTTGTAAAACAGTTCATAAATGAGGCGATTTGTAAATAGGCGTTTCCCATCTAAACGCTCCTCCATGGCGACCAATTGAGCTCACAAATAGGCCTTTCAAAAAGAAGCGCTTCTGGCTCGAGATGAGGTTCGTACCCCTGAACTTGACGCTCCTTACTGTGAGCTCGAAGGTCGAACTTTTCTAACTACTCTGCACCTGCGCCCTTTGACGCTCCACTTGCTGCTGCAGGGTCTGTAGTCTTTCTCGTCCCATCAGAAAATTCGCACGTCCAACGCTCGCACTTGAAGAAATGGTGTAAGGGGCTGAAGGGTCGTCCACCATGTGCAGTTGTCTTGATCCCTGTGCATGAAAGTTCAGTCTTGGAGGGAATATCCAAGGTTTTGGCGTGCATGGCCTACAAGACTTCCATTGGTCCTGTGGCGGGAAGTAGTCTCTGCTCAAACTGACAGAGCAGGCTGCTTGAGCTGAGGTCAGCCCTTTATGTACCCGAGGGCCGACTTGTCCTTTGCAGAGAACTTCCTGCCACCAGTTTGAACAATGCAAACTATGGAACACAGCTGCAGCATGTCAGATCTCAGAACTTACTCTGAGCACGATCATAAGGTACATGATGTTTGCCACACCTATGGAGGAGTACAGGGTGAACCCGGTATCTGCAAAGGCAATCAATGCCTTCATGATCCTGCACATGGACCATGCCGCTCACAGAAGCGATTGAGAAGAACAGCATACGCCAGTCTGGCCATGTCAAGTTCGACTTGCTCTGTAGACTTGCGCAGAGGCTTGCACGAAGCGAGCCCAGGAACAGAATGCCTCCACTTCCACGGTACGCATTGCAGGGAGTTCACAGGCAATCGGGGACTGTTTTGTTATTCACTCGGAAGCAGGTTGAAATGTGGAGTCAGGAGACATCTCTCCAACGCAGTAGCTCAGTAGCTAGCTGGTCCGGTATGGCCATGCCGATGCTCTTGTTGAGAGTCTTTCCACTGCTGCATCGCAGGCCAATCCTTATGCCTGCATCGCTGCAGGCATCTGCCAAGAGAGAACGGGAGAGAGAGAGAGAGAGGGCACTTGTCTGGCTGCGTGGAAGAAGAGATGTAAGAGATCACCTATGATCGTAGGCCTGCGGACCTTTTTCGAAGGAGATTTTTGTTTATCTCTAGGGCAAGATCGCAACCTGCAATGTGCTCACGGCGCCACCCGGAAAGGCTTTCATGCAAACGCAGGGGCGGGGTAAGCAAAGCTTGGCCGGCACAAACGAGGGCGCCATCGCAGTGAAGGCTTTCCGCGGGACAAAGCAGTTCAGAAACTACAAATGCTCCTCGCAATAGTTCTCCGAAGCAGCAGCAGTTGGTGGAGATTCAGGCGAGAGGACCCGGACAGGCGAGACGGCGAGATGATTTGAATCAAATGATTCAGATGATGGTGCAAAGCGTGGCACCACGCCACGAGCTACTTGTACCAAGCCCAGCGGAGCCAAAGGAAGAAATAAGTTGATGTGGCAGCGCGTGACGGTATCACTGTGGTCATGCCGGGAAGCTGAGAACCCCAGCTGGACTTGAAGTGCGGCAAAGGGGAACTGCGCAAGCCCATGGCGGAACGATGAACAAAGCCTTTCCCCCAGCACACCTTGTTGACATTAGTAATCGCAACAATACACGAAAATCGTCCAACTCTGCAGGACCTGAAGGTCCATCTATAATATGGGGCAGAAGTTCGGGACGGAGAACCACTGAACCACTTCAGTTTGTCATACTTGCATTTTTTGAGTTGACATTAGGGGATGTTGGGTGTATATACTCACATTCTCGAAAACAGACTTTTGCAGCTCGTTGGGCGTCGGGGCTTCGACTGGCCGCAGACAATCCAAGCCGGGGCTTCGACTGGCAGCAGACAATCCAAGCCGTTGTGCCGTTGTGCACACAGGGCATAGCGACGCACGCTTCGGCAGTAAATAGGTTACAACCTGGAACAAACCATAATGTTGACCAATTAGGCATGCATGCATGCATGTATGCATGTGCGCGCATCCTGCATGGCCAGAGGAACATGAGCACTGGCATCAGCCTCATGCGGAGGCGTAGCTTCCCTCTGGGGCCCAGCCCATGGTGGCGCCAACGAGGCAGCCTCTCGGAGCATCGCTGAGGTCGCAATGTGCGGCAGATATGCCTGTGACATGCAAACTAAAGAATCTGTTGCTCCTGCCTGTTTGACGTCAGAGACTGAGGTCATCAACATGCTGGAGCAGATAGGAAGCAAAGACAACGTAGCTCAATTCGTGGCTGATGTGAAGGCCAAGAAGGCTGGCAACCCGATGCTAACCATCCTGCGGACTCCTGAGACGACAGCACTTCTGCGACGCTTTCGTGCAGGAAGGTGTGCGGCTGATGGGTTTCGGCCATCGGGTCTACAAAAACTATGCCCCACGGCTGTACTTTGGAAATGTTTATCGTTTTCCCGAAGGCATGAGCCTGACCCGCGGCCTATATATCAGCAGCCTCTTGCAAGACTCTTGCAAATGTCTAGAGCGACGCATGCGTGTCGATGGTGCCCCTCTCGCTTCCGGAACCCTCAAAAAAGCGCTCTTGAAGGAACACCTGAGCTCGGGCTCATTGTTGACTTCGGAGAGTGTACGACATGGTCATGTCGAGGTTCTGTGAGGTGTTCTCGCGATGGTTGAATTACACCAAAAAGCAAGACTACATGCCTAAAATGGCTGAAGCCGTCGCATGTTACAAGTAACTGAATTGCCCGAGGACCCCAGAGCACGCGTAATGAAGACGTTGGTCGCCGAGGCCAGTGTGACCCGCCAAATCAGCATCGGCAGGAAGTCGTGGAAGTCGTGACTCGGCAGGTGCTCAAAGAGCTTGGCGTGGAGGATCCGCTTTTGGGAATCGCCCAGGAGCTGGAAAAGGCAGGGGAGACATCCGCGAGCCGAGCCTGGAATGCTGAAAGTGACATTGCGAATGAGGTGGCCCTGAGTGATAGCTACTTCATAGATCGGAAGCTCTACCCCAATGTGGACTACTACTCAGGGATTATGCTGCGAGCAATTGGCATCCCGACCAGCATGTTCACGGCGGCCTGTCTGAATTTCATTTGCTTGTTTGGTGTTGGTGTTTGGTGCTGTGAGCGATTACATGGAGACCGCCAGGCTGATCCTAACGAAAGCCTCTGACCATCCCGATCTCAGAGTGTCTGAGGTGATGTTTGCCATGTCCAGGACGGTCGGATGGGTTTCGCAGTGGAACGAGATGGTCTTTGCCTGAACTTCTGGATGGTAGTAGGCAAACCGCATATGAACACCCCATTCACACATTCTCGCGAAGGTTTCGGAGAAGCAGATGCGCATTGGCCGTCCAAGGTGCACGGGGCCCTGGGATCCCTTGTATTGCTTCGTATAGGTGGGGACTGCCCTGAAGGCAGCTCTACGTGGGGTCGGGTGAGCGGAAAGAGCCTTGGAAGGCGGCGCAGGAGCGAACACTCCGTGTTCTTCGAACGGGGACAGAATCCGTTTTCGATTGCTGCCCCTGGCCGGCCCGACAGCCCACAGGATCTTGACTCCTCCACGGCAAAGGAAGTGATCATCGACAGTTCCTCGCAAGGTCCCATCCGCTTCAAGCCTCGGATGCCCTGCAGCAGGGACACGGTGTGCACGGACACGCTTGTTGCTGTTTTATACAAGTGACAAGTGCAGTACGGTATTTTTTGTACCTCCTGCTGACCTTGCAGTCGTAGCACAGGTTGCATTCGAGATTCGTTGATTTTTGGATTTGTCAATCGCAAAGGTAGCTGCGTAGCTTGCAGGGCAGCGAGAGATGAGAGCAAGTGTGAGGGCAACCGGTCCTGCAAGTTGTATCTACAGCACAAGCATGAACAAGCTCATGTTCGCTTCAAGTCGTGGGAGCTGGAAAACCTCACAGGTCCGCAGGAGGTCCGGTGTAGCAGCTGTGCACTCATGCAAAGCAGACGAATCAGGCGAATCAGGTTGACTTGAAGGAGAGTTCTGTGTTTGAGTCCAGGATTCTAGGAAGCTTGGGTGAGCGAGACTCGCAAGCCATAGTATCAAACATGTACCAGTCCCGCGGGTTGCGCTAGGACGACATGAGCCTTTGCAGCCCCCTTGAATGGTCCAGACTCCATTGCCAAACGACTTTCCGCGCACCGCGAAAGACGTCTCGCACCATCCTGGCATCTTAATGCTCCCCTACCTACAGAAAGAGGCCTAAGTTTCAGCGAAACTGCGAAATCGCCAGATCAAAGAGAGTTGGGAAATGCTGTGAAGTGACCGGCGAAAGCACTCAGGAAGTCTTCCTCATTCAGGACCAGCGGGGGAGCTTGGTCCGTTGTTTGGGTGCGCACCTGTTGAATGGCTGTTTATCGAGCTGGGCACTTGGCAGGATGGAGCTGCCCGACGTGCCTACTCGCTGACCCACTCGGCTTACGTTGCTGTGAGCGTTGGCACAGCTGGTTCACAGAAATCAGCATTTGGCAGTGGTTTTCCTTCCAGACTGCACCCGATCCGCAGATGCAACTGGTGCATGCGCATCTGCCCGTGTAGACAGGAAGACTGTTGAGGCAGGCAAAAGAGCCGCACAGGGTCCCAATTTCCGTCAGAGGGTCAAAGCAAAATAATTACTCGGACAAACTCGGACTCGGCAGGCTGTCAAGCCAGAAGGCGGTTTTCACGGCAGGGGACTCACGGGACTTGCGGCCTTTGCTGCTTGATTTCGTTTGCTCGGCTGTCCTGCGGTACTGGGACTTGTGAGGCATGCCTGCCTCACCCGCCTGGGGCTTACCTCAGTGCAACAGCCTGCAACATTGCCGATTTGTCGCACCGTGAAGCTCGCATGAAAAAGGAACCGACAACGGCTTGCGGTGATCCCAGCAGTGAGGACGAGGCCCGATTGACTCCTACTGTAGCCCCAGCGCGACGGATCCCACAGTCAAGAAACGTGCCATCCCCAACATGCCAGGCTCTTGCAGAGGCGCAAGGGCCCCAGTGTCAACTTTGCACAGAAGATGCTACGCGGTGAGTTCGACTCCTCTGGTGCAAGAAGAGGTTCTGGAACAGTTGCAAGCAAGTGGCGTCATCAGCTGGACCGGTACCTGTTACGGGCTCATTCACTGTTGTTGCTTTGCAACGAGAGTCTGGTGAGTTTGGCCAAGGCTGCGACGAGTCTGTCGAGCCGGACGGCCAGGTGCGAGGGGACGGCAATTCCGTACGAGCAAGACAAGACAGCCGTGTTGGTTCTCTATCCAAGGGCCAGGGTTCCACGGCGAGCAGCCCCGGCGGGACTGTCCATGGCACCCAGGTCTCGTGGTCTGCACTTCAGTTCTTAGTCCCTTAGAAGTTGTTGAGATACTATGTTTCCCATGTAAAGCAACGAGCGTTATCCGATCGTGTAGAAAGGAGCCTGACACGTTTGGCTCAAGGATGACAACAAGTGCAGCTGAGGTACGCTTTGCGTTTGGGTTTGGGTTCGTTCGGACGTCGTGTTCCCTAATCAATTTTTGTCGTTCTTTCCCCACCCACGTGTGTTTTTCTGTCGGGGTCGGAATAGCTGGTTCTCAGCCGTAAAGCCGTAGAGCTGTTCTTGGTTTCTTCGGATTCAAGGCTCCATCCGTTTGTCATTTCGCCACCGCTGGATCGCCAGGGCCGCCGGCAGACGAGCCGGAGGCTCCACCAGTTAAGACAAAAGAGCCAAGACGACATCCGAGCCCCTGTCGCACACCCCCGCCCTTCTGCAGGACCTTCCACGAGGGCTAGCAAGGCTAGCTCTTGGTTCGTGGTAAGTGCTGGGGTGAGGGCTAAGCTGCCTGCGGAGCCTGCCGGCCTCCGAAGGGCTAAGGCAAAAAAAAGTCCAACGCAAAGTTGCCCACTGAGCTAGATCATCCTCCTCTGAAGGCGAAGGCAAAGGGGATCACAGCAAGCCGGGCGACTTGGCTGTGTCTGCTGCAGTTCTGCTACTTCTCGGATATCTAGGCCTGTATGCCGGGTTTGAAGCGGCCATCGGGCGTCGCTTGCATGTCTACGAAACCGGTCGTCATTGCTGAGGTATTTTCCTTTCTTATCGGAAATGGCAGACGAAGTGCAGGCCCTTCATTTGTTACATTGTAGTCACGTGACTACCCACGAGATCGAGCAATGGCTTAGGTCGGTGACCACCCACACGGATAGTGAGATTGCCGGCATTCTCCACTTCTGATTATTGCAAGATCCCGTGTTGATTAGTTGATTCAGTTGCAGTGACAAGCTGAGCGCCTTGCGTTGTTGAACACTCCGATCCCTGCTAGTCGGGGAAAACTTGGAGATTTGCCTCGAACGGTCAGCTAAGGCAAAGCGGAAGCAGGCCACATCCAGCACTCGAGACAGCAACCGCGCCCACCAACGGTATCCAACGGTCACGTCACACGCCAATAGACTCGAAGCTGAAGACCGTATCCATAGGTGGATGCATGCGGGAGCACCGGGCAACTGAGGTTTTCCTTCTTGGGTGAAGATGGGCTGCTCTGTGCCACGCACGACGGGGGTCGTTATGCGACACCGAAGGTCTATTTGTTGGTTGATTGATTTGATTTGTCTTCCATGCAGTAGTCGTATCCTCATCGTCAGATCGGATGTTCTTCGTCACTTTGTCTTTCGAGATGACCCGAAATCCTTGCTTCAAATCTCCAGTGCTTGTGCGGATGCTGTCCCAGTCTAAGGGCTTGTTGACGGTAGTTCGGCCTTAGCAGCTGCATTGGTTGCGGCTTCAAGTTTGTGCACCCCTGCGTCTTCGGTAGGCCCCGCTTATGCTGTTGATTGAATGGGCGGATCAGCGAGAGAGCCGGGTCCTTCAGCATGCATTGGATCAGAAATTGGGGAACGTCCAAGTCGCCGGAACTCCTCGTACGGGTGGCAGCCCGCAGGCCGAAGGGCAGACCTAGAATTCTACTAGGATTTGACGCCAACAACATCATGGATTTCGCAAATCAGTACAGCTGCATGTTGGATATTTGGTCGTCAGATAATTAGTTCGCATTTCTTCGTCAACGACATCCCGTCTGCTCTAGCCAAGTGAGGTGTACACATGGTGCAACCAGCAAGGTGAGTGATTGCATCGTGCACCAGTGTTCAGGCTGCAGCCTGTGCGGTCTGTTTTCTTGGTCGTTTCGCAGCTTTGGCTGCAGGCTGACCGCCGTCAGTGCCTCACCATTTGTTCAGGTGTGCCTGGCCAAATCGTTGAAGCAAACAGTGAAACCCTTACTTTTGCCTGGCTCGGTTTTGTTGCGAGTGTACCTTCAGACTTCGGGCTCAGTGCAGTGGAAGAAGAAGAAGAAGGGGGCTCGCTTAATGAAGACATCGTTGCATTGCCTATAGTTTGGATTCTCATTCTGCGGAAATCCGAGCAAAGCAAATCCGGAGGGTTAATGCCTTGACCGAGTGATCTTTCGAAGCTTGGAAAAGGCCGCAACTTCGGAGGTCAAAAGGCTGGTGCTTGGGCTGACGCTGTGAACGTTCCAGATTCTGAGCTGTATGTTCGTGCTGGAGATCCTGTTTGCCCATTGTGCAACGCCGCTGAGCGGGTCTTACAGCTATGTGGGAATGATGATTGCAGATACCTGATCCTCTCACTTTGCCATCTACGAGCGAAGGGGTGATTAGGAAGAAAAGCAGCAGAGTGTCTAGACCTTATGCTCGCTTCATGAAGATTGGTCCAAGGTGCCAGGTTTGCGAGAGCTTTCGGAAGGATGTTGAACCGATCCCCCTTAGGAGTTCTCGGAGTTCCTGTCGTACGAAAAGCCCATGCTCCCGCACTTCGTCTTAGGGGTGAGGGTGATCGCCTGTCCGATTATGAGCCGTCACAGCACGAAGCAGATAATGCTCCGGCCGCTGTTCCTATGCACAGAATTCAAAAACCATGTGCCTTGGTCCTGTTTGAGAAATCCTCACATTCCAGATCTCGGCTCGTTGAAATTGCACCATCGTATGGAGTGCAGGTCGTTTTCCTGATGCCTGTCACTCTCATTAGTCACGCGATCTCGTTGCTTGCGATCCGGTTGTGATTGATCAGTTCGTTTGCCAAATTTCAGCCGTGCCTGGATGCTGCCTGTTTGGGCTGCGTCCCGCGGACGGTTAAAGCTTTGTCGCACGGCTTTTTGATCTGAGGCCTTTCACAATGTGCTCTGATGTCCCTCTCGCCGTGTGTGAATGCATTTCAGCCACCAGCTTTGCAAAGATCCATCGTGTCAAAGCTGGAAAAGTTTTTCTTGTTGGTTGTGTTGGCGTCGATGACTTGACGTTAGCCAGGAAAATGTCGCTGCATGGGGCGTTCTGGAGGAAGCGTATGCATTCTTATCTTGTCTCGTGCACCTATTCGAAATCATCTTTTCGTCATGAGGAAAGTAAAAGCAGGCTCTTGCACTTGAGATTTCTGACTTTGCTAAGCAATGTGTTGAGTTTTATAAATCGGTCGCTAGTTCCGTGGTGAAGAAGCAGAGTACTCTCCATTTGGATTAGAGCGCTTTTCCTGAGTCTGACATCGACTCCATGGGATGCCTCTCTGATTCTGCAGTCAAGCTTCTGACGAAGGTGCTGAGGCTTGCTCGACTCAGCAGACCCGACATTCTAGTTGCGGTCACGACTAGCGTATCTTATGTGTGCGCGTGGTCAATCAATGACGATCGGCGCACATGCCGTCCCATCGGCTGCAGAGCAAACTCCAGTGACCATGCTTTGATCATGTACATGCTGGCCCCCTTACTGCGATTCAGCTTGCGCTGGTAGTCTCGACTCGACATGTCCCGGTCAACAAGCAGATATGTGTAGACCATGAAGGTTGTTCCAGCTTTGCGCTTCTTTCTTGGAGCAGTCGTCGTCAAGAGTTCGTTTCACTGAGTAAAGCTTTGTTTTCTGATGCTGTACCGATGCTTGAGGTACAGGAGTTCGCACATGAACATAATCAAGCCTGTATACCGATTGGCCGGAAGATTTCCAGCGAAGCTTCGTCATTTTGCGAAAACGCATCGTGTGAGTGAGGCTCCTACGTGCGAGCTGGTGATTTCCAACGGTTTTAACGAAAACATCCGATTGTCGTACATCCAAACAGTAATAAGGTGATCCTCTCACCAAAATTATTCCACTGTCGAAGTGGCAGCATGCTCTTGACTTGTTGCCCGTTGCTACCCAGCGGCTTCCAGAAGCCTCATAGGTCTGGGTTACGGTTGTTGTTAAAATGGAGAGCTGAACTTCTGTGTGCGGCATTTTTTTTGAGCACAGTGCTACCGGCGAAAGACACGGGAGTCGAATATAGGTCGAGGTTGTTGCTTCCTCAGTTCACAATGAAGGGAAAGTGGTCACCTTCTTTCATGCCGCGGCCATACAGTGCGCCGTCCCTACAGATCAAAAGGGGGTGCTGAAATTCGATGTTTCCCCATTTGAAGCAACGTAGCCTATCTGGCCGCAAAGACAGGAGCCTGTGGCTGAGGTACGCTTTTTGTTCAACCGTTTAGGTTACGGTTGGGGTTCCTGCGGACGTGTTCGTTAACAGCGCAGATCCCATGTGTTCGATCCTTCTTATTCACCTGTCTTCTTCGCTGATTATCAAAACAGCTTTAATTTCATTGAAAGTCCTGTTGTCCCACAGCAGAGGTCCACTTCCGAAAGCCCAGTGCCCCGTGCCCCGAGTGCAGCGCGAGTTGGGCCCTCGCAAACCGCGGCAAAGAGAAAGCAGCCGCCGATCTGCACATTGAAATAACTCTGCGTTCGTGTCTTTCTCAGGAGGAAGCTACGGAGGCACGCGCGGGAGTTGATTTTCGTTTTCTCTTTCACACGGCACAACCTTGCTGCTCTCGTGCACGGTCCTCATCAGGATCCTGCTGAGCATGAGGACGACGAGGCAAGGGTAAGTGCGAACACATGGACTGCAACCTTGTTGCCAGCACTGAGCAGGCTCGTGGCTTTGCAGCCCGCACCAAAAGGACTGCATAGCCATTCCAAGCGGCGTCTGCTTGTAGGAAGTTCGTTTCCCAACGCACGGTCAAAGATGCCAGAAACATAATACGAAGTCATGCGTTCACACCATCGCTACAGCCGATAGTGCAGACATGTGAAATTTGTCCCCACAATGCTGCAGGACGGCGGCTGTGGTCCAGCAAGTGCACGGCATCTGCCTGTGTGCTGCGTTGGCTACTGTTGTTAGTATGTGTATGTTCGCGCTCCGTCAGTGTCTGCATTTGGATGTTTGTCACATGCGTCATACTTGCAGATGGGCACTTGCAGGATGTTTCTTGTAAGAAACTTCTCTCGAACCGGCCCCATCGCCCGCTCGCCCCATCACTTTCTCTCACTCCGCCCCCTT